AATCGAAGTCCACGTTGGCTCTGGCGTTATCGGGCGCTTCAAAGTCATCGTCTTCATCTTCGGCCTCCTTTGCTGGCGCGAGGTTGAGGCCGGCGAAAGCAGCCTCAAAGTCAGGCGCGCCAGCCTTGGCCCCTTCGGGAGCAGCTTCGGGTTCCCTTGTACCGTCACGTTGGGCTTCACCACCCACGATCGGTGCCCCTGTGCTTGACTCTACTGAGTGTGGAGCATCGGGGGCAGTGGTTGGGTCTTCACGGTTCGGCAAGAGTCCGTTGTACTCGCGTGGCAAGTCTCCCGGCTCCTGTTTTTCAACGGAGTCCTCATACTTTGGGGGGCTTGGCTGCGATTCCGCCGCAGGGGGCTGGCTTGCAGTGGCCGCATTGCCAGGAGTGGGGAACGCTGCCAGTTGGGATGGCTCGATAGAATCGGGGTGGGGTGCTGCGGCGATTTGAGTCTGCGGAGGGAAGGCGGGGGTGAAGTTATCCTCGAAGCCCATGGGTGCTTCGCTGTCGGAGCTCTCATCACCATCGTCAAGTTCGCGAATGGGAGGAAATTCTGACTCAGGAGCGGCCGGGGCTCCGTTCGTTTTGCTTACTCCAGGCCCACTCTTCATGGCAGCAAAGGCTTCTTCAAAGTCATTCTCTTTCTGTGACTTGGAGCGCTGATGTGCTGGCCCGCCGAACAGTTCATCAAAGCTGAGATCCTTGCGCTCTGCAGGCTTGTCCTCTCCAGAAGGCGATACGGCGCCAACTGCAGGTTGTTCACTCGCGGCGATGGATGGAATCTCAGGGAATCGCTCCTTTGATTCCACGGTTTCATCAAACGGAGAGGTGGCGGGCTGTGGAGACGAAGGGCCTGCCACTTCACTAGTTGCTGCCTGCGAGGCAGTTCCTAGACTGGCCGTGTCTTGACCACCAAATCTGCTGCCTGGCGGCGAAACCTTCGTTGAAGAGGTCGCCGAATGGGTCTCTCCAAGAGGCAACACACCCGGTGTCAATTGCCTAGACTGAGCCGGGGCCGGAGGCTCTAACCCAGGACCAGGAGTGAATGGAGGCGGAGACACTGACGGAGTGGGCACCCCAGACGTTGGCTGAGATTCAGCTCGGAAAGACACTGGAGGCGGTGGTGTAGCGGTCGTCGGTGGTGACGTGAAGGCGGAACCAAACAGGCTATCAAAGGCACGCTGCTGATCGCCAGAGATCTGCGGGGATAGTGCATTGCCCTCGCTCGATCCAGTAGCCGTACGCTTGAAGAACGGGTTGGTGTTTTGACTCGTCGTCGACTCGGCTGGGCTCATAACAGGGGCAGCATCACTTGGACCGACAGCACTCTCCTCCGATGCTTCAGGTTGCTCCTTGGACAGAGAATCGATCTCGAGCTGGATCTTGTCGCGCTCTCCCTCCACAGTTGCCAACTGCTTCTTGTTGATCGCGACCAGACCTTTCTGTTGCCGGGCCTCTGAGCGAGCCTTGTCGAGGGCAGGCTTGAGCTGAGCAACCGCAGCGTTGGCTTGACGAATCTTCTCCTTCAGGCTTACGTTCTCCTGCTGATCAGCACTGAGTGCAGCTGATACCTGGTTGTACTGGTTTTGTAAATCTTGACGGCTTCCCTCAATCAACGCATATTCCTGCTGCAACTTGCCAGTCTCTGCCCGCGAGGTCTTGAGTCGTTCCTCCAAAGCCTTGAAGTTTTTCACTTCTTGCTCGTACATAGCGCGAGCCTGAGCGAGACGAGCCTCAAAGTCTCTCTTCTGCTGCGAGGTCTGCGACAGATCCTGCTCGGCAGAGGTTCGCTTCGTTTGAACGTTCTGCATCTCAGTAGCCAACGAACCGATCTGATTGGACAGGTTGGCAAGCTCGGTAGTTTCCTGGGTCAGTTTGTTTGACTCTTCGGGGTCGTTGTCTCCCAAAAGATCATCCGCCGGGGGCGGGGGTGATCGAACGGGTGGCGGAGCACCAGCTGAAGCGCCAGTCATCTGTGGCTGCAGGCTCTGTCCAAAGGTTGAAGTTGGCACAAACGGCTTGAAGGTAGTTGAGGGAGCTTGGGGAGATGCTCTCGAGCCGGGGGAACCAGGAGTCTGGAAGGCGGCATTTGAACCCCCGGTTGACTGGGGGATTTGGGAAGGAGCTACCGGCGGTGCCGGTGCCGGTGCCGGCGCAGAAAGCGCATCTAGGCCAAACAAATCGTCAGCCGCCGAGTGTGGTGCTGGAACCGGGGCTGGCGCTGGAACCGGGGCTGGCGCCTGGGCAGGAATAGGAGCTGCTGGGCCGAAATGCGAAGATCCAGGACGGCGCATGCTCGGAGGGATCAAGGCGGGAGGCAATGTCTGAGGCAGCGCCTCCTTTCCGCTACGCGTTAAGCGAACCAGATACATGGCGACGGCAAACTCGTCCTTGGTCAACTGTCCGTCCGCATCGATATCTGCGAGATCCCAAATCTGAGCTAGCGTCTCCTCAGGCAACTGTGCACCCATGAAGAAGGCGACGGCCTGGTCACCACTAATTGAACCTGCCTTGGCCGTATCAACCGTAGCAAAGATGTTGTCAAACATGGCCTTCTCTTGCGGCGAAATCAGCCAGTCACCACCGGTGGCTTGAGCGGAGAGGGGGGAGCCGAAAGGTTGCCTATTGATCGGACTCTGCGTACGCTGAGGTCCAGTGAATTGCTTTGGAATCGCAGGCACCGGAGGAACCTCGGGACCTTGACGGGAACCGACCGACGAGCGGATCGAGCCTCGGCGAGCGGCAGCATCATAGAGAGCGGGTGGAAGTGTCTGGGGGATTCCCCTCATCGCACCGGACTTGTAGGACGTAAGGAGGTGCATGGCAATGACAAATTCCGTAGCATCCAGAGCACCCTGTTGTCTTCTATCCGCCAGATTCCAGATACGACCAAGGATCTCGTTCGGTAACCGCGCACGCTCGAAAATTTGTTTGGCTGTCTCGCCTGTCATGATGATCTGATTAGCAATGGGGTCCATGCCTGGTCGGCCTCGGGGCGCTAGCTGGAGGGGCATATGTATGTACCTGGCAGTACCCCACTTTTGGACACATCCGATTTCTCAAACAGCGACAAGAACTTATTCACATCGTCGGGATTCAGCGGAGGGACCCTGATCGGCGCGTTTGCGCCCGGAGTAGGGCTGGTAGTGCCCGCTTCACGCGGGTTCGGGGTGGCATCGACAACGATCCCTTCGAATTTGGGCAGAGGCCCGGCTGCAACGGTGAACCATGTCAGCAAAAGTTGCATTCTCATCATCTATTGTTCTATCGGGGCCCAGAACGGGCACCTAGCATTCACTCACGTTGAAAGGCCAGTTCCTCTGTGGGTGCGCGACCCGCCTGAGCGTGTCCGATCAGCCGCATGACGACACCAAACCCAGACGGGGTCAATAGACCCCGATTTTCCTTGTCTGCGATCTGCCATATCTATATCACGTCGCCATGATCCAGTTAGCCGTCCGATTCCGATTGCGATTGCGCGGGGGAAAGCTTTCCCCGAGAGTGGTAGGCAACGACATACCAAGCCGAGGGTTTCCGGGGCCAGCTGGGTCTTCTCGAAGAAAGGAACCGCGACCTCGCCGGTGATGACGCCGAGGTTTGTGGTATCGGCGGCCTGGAAGAGTTGGTAGAAGACCCGTTTCTCCTCCGGGGTCAAGTTGAGATTGAGGTTCCGAGCTGTTTGGGGGGGAGAAGAGAACATCCGTCAGTTCCGTTGTTCGGTCGTCGTCATATTCGACGGGGTTGGGCCGTTGTCCCCTGAGAGCTCGGGCGGGCGACCATTGTGCAGGCAGGACACGAGGACTCACCGTTATCAGCCATAATTATAGCTCAGGAGGAGCTAGCCTCCCTTCCGTAGAAACACTGTGCGCCAAAAAATTGACCGACAAATTCCGAACGGGGGAGCGTTGAAGCAGAGCAGGAGAGACGGCTGTCAACCTTCGAGGTGGAAGACAGCACGGGGCATGGATGGCCAAGGCGGCAGCAGCAGCTCTTCTGAGGGGAACTGAGAAAAGGCAGGATTGCCAAAAGCCACAAAGCAGAGGGAGAATGGGAAGGTCCGGCAGCTGAAGAATGAGAGCGGATCAGAGGGGGTAGGGGAACCGAAAGATAAAAAAAAAAAAAAAAAGAGGATAGTAATCCCGAAGTCAATCAAATTAGGGGAGAAGGGGGAGGAGTAAGTAGGAGGAGGGAGGAACTGGCGACCAGAGCAACTAGAGCGAGCCGAGCAGCGCAGAGGGGCCGCCAGCCAGGACAGCTCCTACATTAATTTACTACGGAGTACTGCTATGCAACCCCCCCGGGCGGTCAGCCAGTCACTCCCTCCCTCCCTCTCCAACACCGACGTCAGTCCAGTTCATTTTCCATCTCTCTCCACCCTTCAGGGTCCAAGGATTACTTACTACTCCCTAGAGGCTCACCCGGTCGGCACGAATCCGACTGATGGATGCACCTCGGCGGAAGCAACTCCTCCATTCCTGGATGTGGCGCAACTTAAAGTAGGGTCTCAGAGTTACTTTCGCCGAAGCTATCTACCCTCCTATTATTCTACCCATTTCAGTCCCCTTCATTATGCAAATAAGCCATGGGGGAGTACTAGTAACAGCCTGTTCATCCCCGCTCATCGTCAATTCCTGTTTGTTTTACCACTACAGGGATAATCATCAAATCGCTCGAAACTTGCAAAATGTAGATTACAATTCTCTTAGGCGCCCAAAAAAATTTTGCATATGAGTTTCGAACGAGCGGGTAAATTTCATCGCTGCTTCAGGGATATTAGAAAAATATACTCAGACAAAAAGAAAACATAGTCTGTACTACGGAGCCAAGCTTCTCCTTCCTATTTGCATGCAGCCAGAGTCCCGCTGCTCATTTGGGTATACAACCTTGGCCAACGCCTGTCCCCAACGGAACAATTCCCATTGCTTCAGGGCGAGCCACGGCTTCCACCCGGACGGCCCGGCCGGACCCCCCGCGCGACTCCGGTCCAAAATTCGGTCAGATCTAGTACTCGGCCTCAACCTCCTCCTCCAGGGAGTCGCTGGCAACCTCCTCGTAGTCGCGCTCAAGGGCAGCCAGGTCCTCACGGGCCTCGGAGAATTCACCCTCCTCCATACCCTCACCAACGTACCAGTGGACGAAAGCACGCTTGGAGTACATGAGGTCGAACTTGTGGTCGAGAGCGGACCAGGCCTCGGAGATGGCGGTGGTGTTGGACAGCATGCAGCTACATTTGACCTTCCGTTAGCTTTCTTATGTCTTGAAAACGTCGCATATCAGATGGAGAAGAACTTACACAGCGCGCTTGAGGTTGGCAAGGTCGCCGTTGGGGACCTGCTGGGGAGGCTGGTAGCAGATACCGATCTTGAAACCAGTAGGGCACCAGTCGACGAACTGGATGGTGCGCTTAGTCTTCAGGGTGGCCACGGCAGCGTGGGTCTCCTTGGGGACGACATCACCACGGTACAGCAGGCAAGTGGCCATGTACTTGCCGTTGCGGGGATCACACTTGACCATCTGGTTATTGGGCTCAAAGCAGCTCATGGTGATCTCGCTGACGGAGTTGGACTCGTGGGAGGCCTTGTCCGCGGAGATGACGGGGGCGTAGGCCACCAGAGGGAAGTGAATACGGGGGTAGGGGACCAGGTTGGTCTGGAACTCGTTGAGATCGACGTTGAGGGAACCGTCGAAACGGAGGGAAGCGGTGATGGAAGAGACAACCTGGGCGATCAGGCGGTTGAGGTTCTCGTAGCTAGGGCGCTCGATGCCGAGGTTGCGGCGGCAGATGTCGTAGATGGCCTCGTTGTCAACCATGAAGCTGCAGTCGGAGTGCTCAAGGGTGGTGTGGGTGGTGAGGATAGAGTTGTAGGGCTCAACAACGGAGGTGGCGTTCTGAGGAGCAGGGTAAACGCAGAATTCCAGCTTGGACTTCTTGCCGTAGTCAACGGACAGACGCTCCATCAGGAGAGCACCGAAACCGGAACCAGTACCACCACCGAAGGAGTGGAAGACCAGGAAACCCTGGAGACCAGCGCAGTTGTCGGCAACACGGCGGACCTTGTCGAGGACCTGGTCGATCATCTCCTTGCCGACGGTGTAGTGACCACGGGCATAGTTGTTCGAGGCATCCTCCTTGCCAGTGATCATGTTCTCGGGGTGGAAAAGACTGCGGTAGGTACCGGTGCGGACCTCATCCACAACATTGGGTTCCAGATCGCAGTAAATGGTACGAGGGACATACTTGCCCTGACCTATAGCCCAATTTCATGTTAGGGTGTGCTGCGGGCAAACGGAGGAGCGGGATACACGGGGGGAAAGGCTATGGGAACGTACCAGTCTCGGAAAAGAAGGTGCTGAATCCGTGGTCGGGGTCATCCTTCTTGCGCTCCTCGGTCAAGTAACCGTCGGCCTGGCATCAACAAACAAAGATCAGTGGGATTGCTCATCGGTGTGGAGTGGCAACTCTCGACAGAGGCGTGCCTAGGCGTTTGTTTTCACATACCTGGATACCGTGCTCAAGGCAGTAGAGCTAAACAACACCGTTAGTCCACTGTTTATCCCAAGAATATATGGCATATGCCGATGTTGTTTGATTTTCTGATGACTGTTTCAGGAAAGGAGGGGTCGATTCCCCCGTGTCTAAACATACCTCCCAGCAGGAGTTGGCAATCTGGCAACCAGCCTGACCAACTGTGAGGGGAAAACACAAACATTAGTGACCACGCGAAAAATCAAGCGGCGGCGAGGGAGGGACTGGGCACACACCGTTCAAAGAAATAACTTCTCTCATTTTGGCGAGTCGAATTGATAAGTTTCAGATATGGATTGATGGAGGGACACGGAGTGGGCGTGGAATGTGGACAGAGGGAAAAATTAAAATACCCAAGGGCGATCTGTACGGGGGTTTCAGGGGTAAAGTTAGTAACCTAACGAGCCACCACAACACAGGGCACGAAAGGGGGTAATTGGAGATGGTGAATTGATGAAGGGGAAGGGAAAGAGAGATTCGAGGGAAAGGGAACAGGTGGGAAATTAGTAAAAACGGGGGGGAGGGAGGGAGAGGCCACGAACCCTGGGGAACTGTTTGGTTAGTGACAATGGAGGAGCAGGACGAGAATCGGTCGACTCGATTTGTTTGTGGTCTTTCATGCGCTGTCAACCCAACGATGCCGCCGTGGTTGATCCGTCCGTTGGGTCGCGTTGGGCTATGAGCCATCTGATTGGCTGCTGCCCACCTGGCGGTCAACAGCTGAGTCAGCACCCTGTTCCGGTTAAGATCTGGTCACGTGTAAAGCAGTGACGGCATGACGAAAGATCGCCGAACATCAGCCGGATCATCGCAGTCCATGGATTGCTACCACCATTACCATTGCAATTGCCATGTTTTCTGCTCTCAATTGATCACTCGTCATTGCCCTGCACCGTCTGGCTCTATAACTTATCCTCTCATACAAAACTCGGATATCCCTGAAAACAAACACCAAGAATATACCATCTTCCATCCTCCACTCCAGCTCCGATCTAGATCTCCAGCAAGCTTCATTCGAGTACCTATCCCAATCCCACACCTCTCATACGATATCCAATCCTCTAACACAACATCGCAGACCCATTCCAGATTTTATCCCACTCTACCTCCAACAATGACCATATAAATCAGTCCTACACACCACGAAACACCCCCCTCATCGACCATATCCAACCAACAATGCCTCTCACCCTCCCCTCCCTCCCCCGCCATGTCCCCTCCTTCCTCCCTTACATCCTCCTCGCGCTCCTCCTCCTTACAACTCTCGCAGCCGCCAATGTCGAAAAGACCATCTTCCTCGCCCCTCCCCCTACCACAATCCCAACCCCACATCCCCCAATCGACGACCTAGGTCTTGCGCGCCTCTCCCCCTCCCACCCCATCCTCCGCACACACCTCAACGCATCCTTCCCAACCCAATCCTCACCAGGGACCGAATCCTGGTTCTTTCTCCAAAACCTCACTCCTGGCCGACGCTATGAAGTACGCATCTGTTGGCTAGCAACTGTACGTGTTCCATGCCGTCTACCCTCATTCTTATATACTGACTATACAATCAACAAAAAAGCAACCAACATCCTTCACCCTAACAACATACACCCTCCCGCACGCCCTCTCAGATACCTTCCTCCTCTCATCGATAACAAACTACTCCTCCTCGCGCCTCGCCAGCACTCCAGACTCCGAGTTTGACCTCAATCTCGACGACTCAACCACCACCAACTTCAATCCCGAAACTCCCCTCGACAGCAACGAACCCATTACAGACTCGGTCCTGTTTCTACGTATCCGCGCCGCGGCAGACTATTACACCACGGATAAGGAGCTGATGACGCATGTGCCGCCCGTGGCGGTGGATGTGATTCTGGATCCGTTCCTGGGGAATGTGTTTCCAAGGTCGTTGGTGCCGACGGCGTGTTACGGGGTGATCGTGGCTGGGGTGGCGTTTTTGGTGGGGAAATGGGTGGTTGGGGAGTTGGGGAGAGTGGTGGATGATATGGCTGAGGAGAGGGAGAAGGAAGAGGGAGATGAGGATGTGGATGGGGCGATAGTAGATGGGATGAGAGAGGGGAAGAAGGTGCGGTGATTTATGATTGTGTTCTCAACAGGTACATACATGCATGCATGGTTACTGTGGATGATATTTGCATATTGGGTATACTACTATCATGATGGTTACTTTTACTTGTACTATTACTCTTTGAATATTACTATTGTACTCAATTTTATTAATGAGTTATAATGACACAATTTCTTCATCAAGACACATCCACGCATACATACATACAACATGGCTTCATTACACAGGCGCTGCGTCTATCTTACCGTCTTTGTATGAAAGCACATCCAAAAACGAGAGTAAACAGAACAAAAAGAGCCCCAGAATCAATCCGTCACAATCGTCGCTCCACGTCCCAGGCAACAAAACAATAGGGGGAATATCTAATGCGAACCATCCATCCCAAGTAACAAAAGCACAAATTTGACGAAAGCAAAACACATAAAAGCCATATTGATCTACCTGTAATTAGATCTTTGTAACAAATAAGCCATGATCACATTTCCAGACATTATTAGATAGATAGAGTGGGGAAGATGGATATCGGGTTTGATAGATTGATTAATCTTCAAAGAAATGCAGCACCGCACGCATACCCTTACTGCCCAGGCCATGCGGCGGATAAGCAATAAAGAGCGGGTCGTCCTCGGCGCCAAGCTTGGCCCGGAACTCACTCTTGCGCACCAGATGGAACTGCTTAGCCATGGTGTCATAGGTGTGCTGGAGCATCTTGATGCGGGCACCGCGGAGGTTATGGCCGGGGGTCAGCGAGGACATGGCACCAGCGCCGAAGGTGAAGGATTTGACACCGGCTGCAGCGGCCGTTTGGATGGCGTGGGTGACAATGTGTTCGATGACGCCGTTGGGGGAACCCGGGAAGTCGAAGCTGTATTTGATCTGCATGCCGTGGACGGGGGCGAGCGTGGCTAGGGCGACGAAGGCGCAGATGGTGCCCTCCTTGTCGACGGCGTAGAAGTACCAGCGGTGCTCGGGATCGCGCCAAGGGCGGATCTCGGACAGGTGCACTTGTGTGCCCTTGCGGTTGTTGAGCCAGTCCTGGATGCGCTGGTCAATCTTCTGGCGGATCTCGTCGGAGACCATCTCGCCTCTGGTCACGGTCACGAGCTTGACGCCCTCACTTTCGGCGTGTCGGATCTTGCGGGCAATTTCGCCGTCCGAGGCTGCCATGTTGCGGGCCGGGTTCACGCGCTCCTCGGCGATGCAGGACAGCGTTCGCCAGCCCATGCGCTCGCCCAGGATGGTCTCGACTTCGGCGGAACAGAGCAGCCAGACGGGCTTGTACTTGGTCTCGCGCCGCAGCCACTGCAGGAACTGTGTGATCACTTGGCGGTACTGCTTGGGATCGCACAAGGGGTTGCCCGGAATGATCACGTAGTTGCTGCTGCTGGGCACGTAGGAGATGGCGGCACCAGTGCCCATGTCGCGCCAGATCTTGAAGCGCTCATCACCCCAGGAGGTGGAGGTGGCATCGCCGTAGTTGGCAATGAGATGCTCGAGCGGCTGCAGCTGACTCGTATCCTGTGCGATGGCACCCCTCCTGTCGCGCGCCCACGGAGGATCAATAGTCGATGACTCCGGGTGCCGCAGCTGTGCCGTCACTGGCTTGGCCGGGAAACTGCGAGGGTCGCGAGGGAAGAGGGATGCTAGGCGAATATTGCCCAGTTTCAGAAGCAGCATCAGCAGACGCTCCAGACCAACACCCGCTCCAGCGTGGGGTGGCGCACCCCAGCGGAAGCCCTCCATGTAGTCTTCCATGGTATCGGGGTCGATGCCAGAGCGACGCATGTTCTCCTCCAGCATGTGGGGGTCGTGGATACGCTGGCCACCGGAGACGATCTCCTGGCCGCGAACGAAGATGTCGAAGGAGTTGGTGTATCGGTCATCGTCGGGGTCGGGCATGGTATAGAAGGGGCGTGCGCTGGCGGGGAACTTGTCCAGGATGTAGTAGTCGGTGCCATACTTCTCCTTGACCAACTCACCCAGGCGAATCTCATCGCGGGTGTGGAGGTCCTCATCCTCTGGCAGCGGGTTGCCGTCCTCGTCGCGCCAGCCGGAGTCATTCAGCATCTTGATACCGTCCGCGAAGCGCAGAATGGGGGTCTTCTCCAGCCACACAACATCTTCTGACGGGAACTGGTGCTTCACGGTCTCCACCTCGCGGCGGTAGCGGCCATACACACCTTGAAGGATGGACTTGATAACCGCGTCCAGCACGTCCAACATCTCATGGTAGTGCTCTTCAATGGCCATCTCGATATCCAACCCGGTGTACTCAGTCAGGTGACGGTGGGTATTGGAGTTCTCCGCTCGAAACACCGCTCCAATCTCATAGACACGACCGAAATCAGCGGCAATAGCCATCTGCTTGGCCAATTGTGGACTCTGGGCCAGGAAAGCATCTCGCCCGAAGTACTGCACGTGGAAGACACTGGCGCCCGACTCGGTGGCAGAGCCTTGCAGCTTGGGTGTATGGATCTCCATGAAGCCCTGCTCATCGAGGGCAAATCGGAAGAGGTTGCAGATGGCGGATTGAATGCGGAAGATGGACTGAGAGGTCGGGGTGCGCAAGTCGAGTAGACGATTGGTGAGACGAACGCGATCGGGGATGTGACTGCGACGACCTTCGATGCGCTCCTCCTCGGCGGTTTGAATCTCTGCCTCATAGATACTAAAGGGGACGGGTTCCTCACGACGCACGACCTGATGAAGCTCGTCGATCGAGATCTCGACGTCATGGATGGTACAGCCCAAGATCGGCACCTGAGGCTTCTGAATGGTGCCCCGCACGCGGACAATGGAACCCAACCGCAAATGCTCAGCCCAATGAATCATGGCGATGGACTTGACACCTGCCTCCTCATGCAGAACACCCTGGAAGGTGAGCAGCTGCTGGCGGAAGACTAGGAAGACTAGCTTGGCACTCATGCGACGGATGATATGTAGACGAGCCGTAAAACAGATCTGCTGGCCCACCAAGGATTCGGAAATGGCATCTAGGTTGGTACGGACCTCACGAGGGCGTGTCCGAGACTGTAGCAGCGGCAATTCGCCGTAGCGAGCCTTCATCTCCGAAGTCTCCTCGCGGGTGGCATTGGCGACTTCCTCTTTCCGACGCGAATCAGACTCGTCGGAATGACGCTCCTCGCTCAGACGGGACTTCTCTTTGCGCTGTTTACGTGCCAGGCGTTTTTGCTGGTTTTTACTGATGCTGCCTGGCGACGAAGAGTCATCTGAGCCGTCATCGGAGGAAGAGGCATAGTCGCGATCGCGCAGGAAGTTGCTGAGGATGCTGCGACGGGGAGACATGGAAGTAGCCGAGGCGGGGGTGCTGTGAGCGGACTCATCGTCGGGAGACGACTTGGTGGGTTTGATTTTGGACAGCGCACGTTTGATAGACATGATGGGGGCGGGAGGATGGGAGTCAACACCTCCCATGTGATGATAGGATTGAAGGGGTATAGGGGAGGATATTCCAGAGAGAAAAGGTGAGGGAGAATCACCGTCAATGACGGGGGAGAGAAGAGAGGAGAGGACAATGGGAGGGGGGGTACCGTCAGCGCTTATAAGTAGTAAGGAAGAGTGAGTTGGGCACAGGGTTTTCCAAGACAATTAAGGTTAGGAGGAGAGCTTAGCAGGGCCTTACAAACCCAAGAGTCGGCCAGAACGTGAGAGAAGTAATAGAACTAGTAGCAAAAGCGTTGCAAATCAAAAGTGAGAAATACGAGGGCGCAAATAAAGGCTGGCGGGTCGATCCCGAGGCAAGTGATGTCATGCCTGTGATGATGCAAAAGCCGGGATATCAAGAGTCTCCATCACATCGAATGGGAATTCCAGCAGTGGAAAACAGGGTCCAGCAGAGGAATGAAGGACCGATGATGTGGTCCAAGACCTCTTTTTGCCAACTACTAGAGCCGTTCCTCATTCCCAATTCTTTACGTTTTGTCTACTACTTCCTGCATATGAACTGCATGACTACCTTTCTGTGTCATTTCTAAACCGATCATCTCTATTCCTCCTCCGGCTTGGCTTGGCTGCGCTGCGCTTTGGATCTCGTCTTCCTCGGCAGCTGCTTTCCGTGGATCAGGCGGCCCTTAAACCTCCCTCAAACGTAAATTAATAGCCTTTCATTCCAATCAACCGATTACTATTCTACTGGAACGGAAGGTCTGGTCTGGTTTGCCTCCGACCTTCCGGGCGCTCTCTCCCAGAGTTACTCTTTGGAGACTCTCTCTCACACTCTCCCTCTCCTTCCTCCGTCTGTTCCTGCCTCGGATCTCTCGTAACCTTCTTTTCACTACTAGTTACCACTTACTTACCTCTTTGAAACTCCTCCCTCCGCTGTATGGCCATTCCATCATGCCGTCTTCCCGCTGGTGGCTCTACGTCCAAGCCGTTGTCTGGCGCTTTCTAATGCGCATTGGCATGTTCCTGCACGATGTCACTCCTCCGCGACCTCCCCGGCCTGCCTTTGTTCGCACTATTCCCACCGGTTCGGGTCAGGTTCGTCTCTGCTTCTACACGCCACCCAACTATCTCAACATCCGCAAAGAAGGCCGTCGTCTGCCCGTCGTGGTCAATTTCCACGGCGGAGGCTTCACGCTAGGATGCCCCACGGATGACAGTCGCTGGGCGCAGTGTGTGCTCGGGGAAGTCGGCGCCGTGCTGGTCAGCGTCGGATACCGTCGTGCTCCCGAACATCCGTTTCCCGCCGCCGTCGACGACGGGGTTCTCGCCCTGCAGTATCTCGCTGCCCACGCCGTCGAGTTGGGTTTGGACGTTTCGCGCATCGCCCTCTCCGGCTTTTCTGCTGGTGGGAACCTCGCCATCACCGTGCCCCTCCGCCTGCGCAGTATTCTCAATGAGCAACAACAACAGCAGCACCAGCACCAGCAACAGCAACAACAGGACCAACAAGACGCCCTCGAACCTCACAGCAGTCCACCTAATACGGGCCCCTACGACTCCACCCAGCAACTAGTATCCGCCGCCTCCACCAGCGAACTCAACATCGTCGCCCTCTTTTGCTGGTACCCAATCCTCGACTTTGAGGAGTCGCGTGACCATCGTCGCGCCATGAGCCTCATGCCCAGTAAGACCCTCCCAGCCTTCTTCACCGATCTCTTCGATGAATCCTACCTGCCTACGCACGAGGAGCGGATCTCGCCCTATGCGTCGCCCGTGCACGCCACGGATGAGATCCTCGCCGATGCCCTGCCGCACGATATCTTCTTCTTTATCTGCGAATGGGATATGCTTCTCAAGGAGGGCCAGGTGTTTGTGCGGCGTCTGCAGAATATCAACAAACATGTCCGCGCCATGATGATCGAAAAGGCGCCCCATGCGTGGGATAAATCACCCAATCCCTTCCGCGATCAAGATTCAGTTGATATTCTCTACCGCGATGCCTGTGCTGATATGAAGCATATTTTTGGTGCGTAAACCCATTCCCCCAAAAGGATGGGCGGTCCTACATAACTCATTGCGATTTTCTTTTTTTCCCTTCAATTCTCCGGTTTGTATAAACTAGTCCTCTTTTCTTATACATCCTGTTATTATTACTCCTTGGAGTTATTAGCGTTACTTTGGGTTTTCGTCCATCACTAGAATCGTTACATCATCCTTACTACACACGCACACATCTACATGTACACTAGACGACGATCATTGATTACTACCGAGGTACCTCATGCATGAGCGACTTAACTTGCATCATCTTTCCAAGAAACACAATTGGCGGGGTATCAACCAACGATCTTTCCAACTGAACTTTTTCTACCAATAGTAGTACTCTTCCTACGGTACCATATTCTAAATCAAATTACCCCCGGTACCAGACCAACCCACTCGCTCAATCTCATATGTAGAAATAGCCAAGCCTGCCCCTCCTTTCCATGATAACCAGCGAACTAGACGAAATAACGAAGTGGGTGAAGGAAGGTGAGACAGGAAAGAGGGGGGAAATTGACCTCTATCTGATTCATATGCGTCGAATATTGATGTTGATGCTGCTTAAGTAGTAGTAGATACTTGAGCTAAGTATACCGGATAGGTCGTAACAGCGATCAAGTATCCATGATCTTTGATATCTACGTGCACTTCAGGAATATGAACGTTGTAATTTTGGTATTTTGTTCATTCTCTTCTACCCCGCAGATGTCATCGTACATCCATCCATCTGTCCATCATCATCCATCGTCCATCATTATAAATACCAACATGGTACCAGTCTCAATGTCGCAGGACTGGTAACGGATGTAGGCAGGTAACAAGCAGGCATATGCGATGTGTAGGCATACTACATGCACCCGTGCGTGTATAAATCAAATCAAATCAAATCAAATCAATCACCATACGCCACGCTAAATTCCCACCCATAAAACAACAAACATAGATCTCACAAAAAAACTTTTCTTCTTTTTCAGAGAAACATAAACCTGCTGAGATGGCAGAATCGCAAACAGATTGGGGGTATTGTGCTCGCCAATAGAACGAGAGAGAGAGAGAGAGAGAGAGAAACAGAGAAGCACTTTTGAGTTGTTCTTTTGAAGGTCTTGGACGCATCACAATTCGTCATCCGTTTCGGTCCCATCGCTGAGGTCTTCGTCCGACTCGTTGTCGTCCGCTTCGCTGTCCGAGTCGTCGTCTTCGTCTAGACCTGGGATGCCGCGCCAGTGGACGTAGTCGTTTTCCACCCAGCGTCGGCTGCGCGGGAGCTGGTAGGGGTCAAAGGGGAAGTAGGCGTCTAGTTGGTAGCCAAGGTCGTCGCCGGCGCGGATCTCCCGCTCGACTTGGCTGAAGCGAGGATCGGCCATGGCGCCGATGCTGCGGTATGAGGATACGCGTAGTCGCTTGTTTGTTTCGAGGATGCTGAACACGTACATCAAGTTGAAGTGCTGCGACATCCGCGCGAACTGGGACACGATCGCGGGCGAGCACACCTTCAGCGGGTTCAGCTTGGAGTGGATGGCTTGGTGCAGCACTTCCTTGACTGACGGCGGGAACATGATGTCTTCTGGCTCAAGCTCGTCCACTTGGTCCGGAGTGTCGCCCTCCAGCGCAGCGGTGGTCAGGTCTCGCCAGCGAAAGCAGAAGATGTAGAGCAGGGCCTGAGCCGTCGAGTAGAAGGGGCCATAGCGGCGGAGGTCGGGGCCCCGGCAAGTGGCTTCATAATCCAGACGAAGACTGTTCAGATACGTGCCCAACAGATCGAACACATCCCGGACAACCTCGCCAGAAATATGGGCCCCGCGAGCAACGAAGCTGGCGAGGTAAGCAGCAGCTGATTGGCGCATAATGGCTGGCTGCGTCTTGTTAAAGATAAGCTCGGTGCACATCGCGGCGAAGCGGTCCACAAGAATTGGGGATGACTGAGAGAAGTGGAAGAGAAGGAATTGAGAGTGGCGCGAGCGGTACGTGGGGAGAATAATGTTCTGGAAATGGCTCATCAGAAGATCGAAGGCATTTTCCTTGTCGTCCAGGGAGCCCAGCGTGAACGGAGGGGCATAATATTCGAACATGGTGTCAATCATGCCATCCAGCTTGAGGATGTTGTCCCGAATGGCCTTGATCCGCTTGGATTCATCGTCTACCGAATCATCGCTAAGAACGGAGTCGTTGTCATCGTCGTCATCCGCATCATCTTCCTCGATCATGACTGATTCCGGAGAGACTCCCTGCAGGACATCCTCACCGACTTCATCCTCGATGTCCTCTAGATCCACTTGGATGTGGACGTCAATCTTGACTAGCTTTTCCGTTATCAGGGAAAGAATATCACCCTGAAGCTCCGGGGCATAGCTGATCACCCGGATGAGATTCCGCGTATACGCAATGTTGGCCTTGGCCGAATCGGAAGCAAAAGGAAACTGTGCAGACAAAAGAGGCGACAGCGTTCCACTACCAGACGGAATCAACTGCATGACATGGCGCAAAGCCAAGTGCACGCGGGAGTAGAGCACCGGCACATGAACAGACGGGTAACCCGGGATCTTCCCCGTGTCCTTGGGAAGCTCTCCCAGATAGTTGACCAGCATTTTGAGCACAGCCCCCAGATAGCTGCCCTGGGCAGCGGCAAGGTTACCGAGAAAGCGTATATACAACTTGATGTACGACTCGTCCCGGCCCAGCCATACGCTATTCAGCACAGCTTGGACCAGTCCGTTGCAAGTGCGATCCAAGGACGCAACATTTGACAAAAGACCCAGGAGATGATGTCTCAAGGACGTATGTGTAGGTACATCGTAGGCAAACATGTTGTCCTCATCCCGGCGCCGCGGGTCCACCGCAAAAGTCTCCTTGATGCGGTCGTACGCCTCGCTGTCGGTGCCAGAGACATGCCGTTGGATGGCCCTGCGCACCTCCTCGCGGACGACGGCTGCGCTCTTCTCTGGTTTCCGTTCCGGCTCAGGTTCCTCTTTATATGGTACCATGAACACCTCCTTATCAAACTTCACTCGCGTCCGCTTCCGGGGACTCGGGCTGTGTTCCGCGTCGGACGAGGACGACGGGGACAGGGAGAGATCGCTGTAGTCGTCTCCCATCATCATCCTGTGCTTAATCCCAGTCGTGGATGGGGTGCTCTTAGGCGTTTTTAGAATGGACACAGGTGATGATGTAACTAGCATCTTGGATGGATTAGTCGTCGGCCTGGGTGCGATCGTTGCGGTGCGGGAGGCGGTGGCAAGGACGACCATGCCAGGATCGACGGTTCTATAATAATGAAATGGCTGGGGAGTGCTTGAAACAGGACCCCAAATCCAATCATGAGTCGCACTCTCACAGTATCACACGCGAGGAGTGGTGGGATATTAAGAGATGGAAACAGATCTTGGAAGCAGAGCACACGACCCGACCAGTTGCGAGTCGAGAGATGATCCACCTGCTGTTGCTACAGATAACAAGCGCGCTTGGGAGTAAGGAAGGCGAGAGATACCTTCATCGGACTGTCCAACACACGCACCCTGAAAACGCTGCGATGCACGAGTGTGTGAGAGGGAGACAGACCAGCAGTTGGAGGGGAGCCCGTCTGGAGTAAGAACTAGGAAGAAAGCAGACGAAGCGGAGAAGCAGAAAGTCGACGTGAAATTTTTTGGGTGTGGGGCGGCTGTGGAGCCTCAGGCTGCCAGCTCGTGACCAGCGCGTGACCAGCGCGCAACAGCCTTACCCGATCGGGTTATACAATTCTTCAATGTCCACTAGGTGGATCAAGAACAAGAGGTACTGTACGCAGACGTATGCACATGCATGAGATGCAGAACTTTATGATGTATCGTGTCATTGTTACAAGACTAATCCAATACAAAAAGCAACCCTGGCAGTGTCTTTCGCATTCAAAACGACGCTAAGGAAGAAGAATACAGATCCGAGAACCTCGTTAGACATGTCAGAGTCCGTCACATAGCCAGTCAGCAGAGCGAATAATTCGATCCACGCAACATGGAAGCATCAACCTGCAACCAATAAATGAAGAAAAGAATAAAAAAAAGCAATGTTGGGGGTGATAGATCCAAGCTCCTCCCAGTGGTATCTAGCTAATTCAAAATAAAGATGAAACCGAGTAATTAGATCACAAGACATTAAAGAGTGAATATGAGTGGGTCATGGCAAAGTCAATCCTGGCGAGGGAAGGAAATATCCAGTTCCTATCCAGAGCCCTCCAGGCGGAATCCCTCGGGAGTCAAAATAAGGAAAAGATGGTAGAGAAAGTAAAACAGCGAACGGGGTCACGATTCAGAGCCAGGCCCCCGTACCTATCGGGCCAAGATAATCATCAAAGACGCTGCCATAAAGGGCCTCGATCTCCACGAGGTAGTCATCTGCGGTGAACTTCATCAATCCCTTATCTCGTAGAATCAACTCCTCGTCGTCGAGTATACGGGTGCCACCGAACTCCTCGACCACCTCGTTCACTTGCTCAAGTTCCTTGCTGAAGGGATGGGGCTCGGCCTTGTAGCTATCCTGTGTCTGACGTGCAGCAGATGCATTGCGCAACGAGTTCAACGGAGGTGGAGATAGCCGGGACAAGGAACGCTGGCGAGCAAGCTCTTGGTGGGTCCGCTTTGTGTGGGAGAGCGCCCGTTTGGGAACCAGCGGCGCATCCGTAGAGGAGTTGGTCGATGTCGAGGAGCGAGGGTGGCTCGTCACGGTCGCAGATCGCTTCGGGAAATAGGAAGGCAGCGGGTTTGGCTCAATTGGCGACTCATCGGGGGTAGTCAGAAGCGATCCAAAACTGCGCTGCGTGAAAGACATTTCCGAATCGTCGGGCGACTGCAATGACGAGGTAGAAGACGAAGTCGCCGAATGGATGTCGGGCGCATTGTAAGCCAGCATGTTCGTCGTCGACAACAACTCCACGGGAGCCGAGATCTTGTCTCGATTGATCGGACCAGCGTGTTTATGTGATTCACGGTATGGCATCGGGGCCGAGACCTCGGGGCGCTTACTGCGCTTGGTGAAAGCTCTAGCCAAAGCCATGATGACGATAGTCGGGAAATTAAGGTGTAGTCGAGAACGCAACTGACAATAAATGCTGGAAGGTGCAGACTAGGCGGTCGGGCTCAGATATAATGGCAGATATGCAGCTGGCCGGGAAAGGTCGATAGTTGTACAAGCGATATTGCTTTTTTTGCTATTTTAGGGTTTTCCGTAACCGTCTCCTCGTTCTCGAGAGACTGACGCCTTTGGACGGTATAAGGAAAGAATGCTGATGGCCGATCGCGGGGTGGAGTAGAGAAGGAATGGAAGATCGATCACCGGAATGTCCGTTATCAGATACAGTGGATGAGCTGTCAAACGAGAACCAAGATGTCGCAGCGGAAAAGGAAGCCGTGTCTGAATGAAGGCAAAACTTCCTCTAGTTTCTTCTTTCTCTTCGTTCTTTATTTCTGTTTTTTGCTTTTCCCTTGCACAGCAGAGAAAAATAATAAATAAGACGGGTGGAATGAGTGGTGGTGCTCGGGAAATGGAAGGTGGGCTGCTAGACTCAAGGGGGCGAAGAGATACTGCAGCAACACGGTAGCACCACCGATAATGGTACAGGGAAGATCGGGGCGGACAACCAGGACGCGCCACGGGCGAGATGTGAATAGAGTAAATAAAGGGTGGGAAAGAATAAAAGTATGAAGGAAAGAATCCAGGATACACAGATCTGGGACTGGAAGAATGAAAAAAGGATCAAAAAGGAATGGTGCAGGAAATAAATCGGAGTCCCCCAGGGAGGAATGGGGAAAGGGAAAAGTAAAGTAGAAGAAAGGAAGAGGAGAGGAGAGAGAAAAGGGAAAGGAAAGAAAAGGGAAGAGGGGGAAACGAGGGAAAAGGGAAGAGAGGCGAGTTGAGTGGATGAAATGATGGATGAAGTGGATGGAACCACCTCCCGCCGTGATTCTGGGCCTTGTCTTTACCCCCCTCTTTTTTCCTCTACTTCGCTGTTGCTCTTTTCTCGGACTTCCTCCTCTTCTCTCTTTCAAGTCCTCTGAGTGGGTACTAAAATTCAAGATGATCAAATTAAGCACGCAGAAAAGGGCTAATAGCAAGCCCTGATTTGACGTCTCTCTTTTCTCAGCGACCCAGTCAGTCACCCTTGGATCAGATCCTGAGTCGCGACTCGTTCGCCAGGGTCTTTAGCCGACCAACTGGAAGAGTGGGATAGAGTTATGGATGTGGAAAAAACTTTGCCTTCGGTATTTTCTCCAACGGTTCGCCTGGCGCCTTGTAATGATGCGGGCGATGGTCGAGAACCACCTGTTCGCCAGAAGTCAACCATGGATACGCACTCTATGGGGCTACGCAGCAAAGAACAAGCGAAGTAGCCAGCATAATAATAACAACGTAACTACGGAGTACTACTGATTCCTCCCCTCCTCCTAACATCTATTATTTTCCTCCGGTGCTCCGACGGACAGTCAGGCGCGGCTAGTCGTGCGATGCGATTTGGTGGTCGGACGGACAGCCTTGACCATCTCCCCCGGTCATTTGCTTTTGTCGGGTGGCCACAAAAAAACAATAAAAGAAATTCAGGGACCAACCCAAAGCTTCGCTCGGCGCGTATTTGGCGTGATGAATTTAGGAGATAATCCCTTAGTCCTTCCTTCCTTTCTCCCTCCCTCCTACATATTTGCGTACCTTGGAGAGAGAGAGAGAGGGAACCCTTGATAGGATAGATAGTATACTCCGTAAGAAAGTCTAGTCTAGATTAAAAGCCGACCGAACTCAAAAACGATAGCAAAATGATACACAGACTAAACCCAAATGGGCGTCGTCAAACGGCAGCACCACCGAGGCTACACCAAGTGAGGCCAAGTGGTGTCGGCTTAACGCCAGGAACGGCATCGCGGCTGGCCATTGGAAACCGCCATGTGCCCTGAGCGGTGGGGAATTGAAACAATCTGCCGTCTCAGCTGAAGGGGGGGAAAGGATTCATGCAACCAACAAGCTGGACATGACGTCGAAAGGAAGGGGGGAGTGTGTGAGTGGTTCTCCTACATACATCACGTCCGTCCTAGACAGACAGGCTTAATCTCCTACATACTTGATCTCTAATGTAGGTACCGCGTCGGTCGGATAGAATCCGCAATCCGTTCCATGAGGGTTCTTTCTTGGAACAATGGAGTTGTACGTACCACCACACTAAACTAAAAACTAAGACCACACGGAGATGCCGGGCGGGTCAAACCACCGAGTGCCTCTCTTTTTTCTTTTTCGTTTGTTTCCCCACCAGTGGGTCAACTTAATAAACTGGGCGGTGGTTTTCACCCGCTTATACACTTGACCTGTGCTTTTCGCTTTGATGTCCTTTTTGCCAGGAGTATACTTTCTGCGAATGCTGTACGATGGGTTTCTATTGAATTTATTTTTGGTGTAGGTTGAGAGGTTAAAATTAAATAGATACGACCTACTACTACTACTACTACAGAGTAATCTAACTATCTAATTGATTAATAGTAGGTAAGCACCTTACCGCACGCCAATAACCAGTAGACCCTCCGATCTCATTACACCATGGTCAATCACAAAGTACCACTCCTCGGATGAAGTTTCCACAGCGACTACCCATTCACCGACGCATGTACTATGCAGATTAGAATTCTTCACCTCGACCATCCTCATCTACTTACCACCTCTTCATCTACTTTCGGCCTTGCAGACGAGATAACCTAATAAAATGCAATCACCGGACCCGTCCACTCGCCTCATCGCAGGCATGTGATTGGTGATCGAGACCGTATCAGACGATATCTGGTTTGGGTATTCTGCCGGTCGATCAATTCATCACTTCATCGCTTCCCATCTTTTGGTGTCTGCAGCTTAGGATTCGGCTTATTCATCGACTCTCTTCCGTTCTCGTCAACTCAACTACAAAATAACTTAACTAGTCAGGTGAATGGTATGGGGTATCACAACGTTTTCATTGCAAAAAGCGTCACACTCAAACTATCTATCTATAAGTAGAACTCCGTAGATTCATTCTTTCTTTTTTATCTTGTTTTTGTTGCAGTCATCCAACCTGAAGGCGTCCATTTTTAGGCTTCCTTTCTTTTCTTTGTTTTGCATCTACTCAATCCTCATCCATCGATTCCCAGCCATCCGCACCTTGCGCCGCTCCAACCTCCTGCACGCCTTCCTCCTCATCCGACTCATCCTGGTCGGGCTGAATACCGACCAGACGTTCCTGCACCTCGCCCTCCAGGGTAGGCACCCGCGAGACGAACGCCCGACGCACCGCCGCGTTAGTGGAGGTATCCCAGATCTGGACCACGCCCTTGCTGCCCGCCACAGCCAGGCGGAAGCTCACATCAGCATCCGGCGCGAAAGTGGTCGAGAAGATCTTGCCCACTTCCATCTTGCGAGACACCACCATGCTGGGCTTGTCGTTCTCAATGTTCCAGAGCTTAACGGACTTGTCCGTTGACCCGGTCACCAGGTAGCCCGGCACGGTGGGGTTGACGTCGAACGACGACACCGACGAGTCGTGCGCCTGCAGCGTCCACACGGGCTTGGACTCCTTGGGCGAGGCGGGAATGTTCCGCACATCGTAGCGGTACACCATACCGGCGTCCGTCGTCACGTAGAAGTAGTTCGGGTCGTGCACGTCCCAGCGCACGTTCTCGACATCCGCATCCACGCCCCAGCGCGCCTTGGAGTCGGGGGCTCTCATGTCCGCTGCCACCACCGTGCGGTCGTAGCTACCGCTCAGCAGGACGGTCGATTCGGTCGGGTGCCACTCCAGCGCGCACACCTTGTCGGTGTGGTGGGAGTACGACTTGGCGCACTTGGTGGTCTGGAGATCCCAGAGCTTGACGGTGCGGTCGGCAGATCCAGAGGCCAGGAGGTTGCGGTGCTGGCGGTTCGCAGCCAGAGCGAGGATCGAGTCGATGTGATATTCGTCGTTGGCCTTGGCCTTCTTCTTCTTGGACTTCTTCGCGCCGTTCTCGGCATCGGCACCACCCTGGCCCAGGATCGCGTTGGGGTACATGCTGTCGACGACATCGAGGTCCCAGATCTCAATGTCGGGTTCCATTGTTCCGATAGCCACGAAGTTACCGGTAGTGCGGCCCTCGGCCGTCTTGCCAACGGGGATGTCCAACCACTCTAGCGCCAACGGAATAGCGGGCAGCATGATATCGTGGTGCACGTAAAGGTTGTCGGCGGCATCCTCGTAGACGTAGACTTCCAGATGAGCAACCTCGTCCTCAACCTTACCCGCCAACAGCAGGTTATCCGTCGGCATAATCTGCAGTTCCTCTCTCTCCTCGTCTTCCTCCTCCGGCGGCATAACCAGGTACGGGTCCTCCTCGTTGGGCTGGTGATAAGCGAGCGACTTGACATTGCCGAACATGGTGATCTTCTCGCCGTCCTCGTCGACCTCGTCGCTATCGTAGTGATCCAGATCGTATTCCTTCAGGTCGTCGTCGTCACTTTCATCATCAAA